CAATACTTGTCCTGTTATGACACCCTCTCTTTGAAGCATAATAGCTACACTGACAGGATCAGAGAGAGACTGAGAGAGGAGTGGACAATGAGTGTTGAATATATCAATAGCCAGTGCTGAACATGCACTGTGTTCTAGATAAAGAATACACACACACAGTCAATATTAATACAATCAGTGATATTACCGGTAACTTACTCTCTTGATCTAACTTGTCAGCTCCAGCATTCTCATTCATAGATTTAAGAGCATCTGACAGTGAGTCAAAGGTAGCTCCTCCTTTACTGTCAACATTATCAGCTCTGGACAACCACTGGGAGAGGCACTCTGTCAAGCATCGAGATACATCACCAGGATGATTCCTTTCAATGGCGTCCAGTGTGTTCTTGTGTAGTCCTAGTTTAAGTCCCAGGCCATACCATCTTGTCTGAGGGAAACCACATCTCTCCAGTAGGTCAAGTACATCAATAAGTTGATCTAAAATCATATTTAATGATACATAGATAGTTAATGAACATTACCAATAGTCAAAGGAGAAGAGAAGAGACTCAGAGAAGAGGAACAAGAACTGGTTTTAGTTGCCATTGATCAAAGAACAAGCTAGCCGGATGCAAACTTTGCAAAGGAATGACAAGGGAGGGGCTGGTTTTGGGCGGGGAAATTATTGTTAATTTAATTTAACCCTCAATATGGCGGCATTGGAAGAGACCAAACAAATGATGATAGTTTTTTCAGTTTTCATACACAGGGAAAAGAGAAAGTTGATGATGAAAATGATGGAGTTACTATTGACAGCAAAATAACAGATGAGGTAGTTTAAATGTACCTGTACATGTATACTAGTACATGAATTTGGCCCTCAAATTGTGAACTTGTGTTATGACACTACGAGCTGCTTGGTATGTATATATGTAAAATGGCGTCAGGTTTGCTAAACTTTCAATGCTTTTTATTTTTACAGGAAGAGAAAGAAAGAATCTATCAAGAGTGGATCACGTGATCTTAGTCCTCTCTGGTAAAGGATGAGTTGGTAAGAATACAGTCCTCGTCCACACGTCAAGGAGGAGGGGATTCCCTTTGAAACTACTTTCAGACAGAAAATTTTGAACTCTTGACCATTATCCTTTATAGAGCCTGATGACTATGAGCAACCATTAATACCTTCTCACTTGATCATTGGACGTTGAGTAATGAATTTACCTTCAGTGGAATGACTGGAATCCGATGATAGTTTTGAGGAAGAATTCAAGATCACTAATGAGGAGTTGCGTGATAGAATGAAGTATTTCATGTCTTACTCAGTTACTTCTGGAAGAGATGGCACAGTGAGTATTTGATGCTACTGTGTTACTAATAGTACAGGGGCTTTCGTCTGATTTTGACTGCTGCATCTCCTTCCCCTCAACCTCCTCTCACTAATACCAGACCCTCTACCAGGACTGGCACAAGAACTGCTAACAGTTCAAGGTAAAGTAAGTCACTTGTACATGTACATGTACTACATTTACATACTGTATGGTTGGGAATTTTCAAGGATCTATTATTTTACGTTTTCTCCAAATTTCCTTATAAGCTAATATTTGTGTGTACAAATATTCATGGCTGGCAGTTAGCAAGCTTCTTTTCACTTGAATCTACAGCACTAGCTTCCAATACATGGCTTATGGTGGAATATGGAGTAATAGACAAAGACTCTGGCTCCTCCACTGCAGGGGTCGATCTAGGATTTAATTTTTGGGGGGCAATTGTGAGATGGGAGGGGTAATTAGGAAGTGTGGTCAACTATGCTTGTGCAAAACTTTTAGGGAAATAAAAATTATGAAGACTAA